GGCTGCAGCCTACGCCGCTACGCAGTCGCCGTCGCCTCACGGGCAGCCCAGCTCCAGGTTGAGCTGTTGTTCAGCATCTTAGCTGTAGAGGGCAGTGTCACTAGCCCTCGTATGTGGGATCCGAACCGGGGCCCTCTGGCGTCCCAAACCAGTTCTTAACCAACGCGCCACTTGGCCGGCCCCAGTAAAGTCTTGATTATTGAGGTTTTATTATAACCCAACCTGGAATCTGGTCATTCTTCGGTTGCCTAAGGTCTTATCATTCCTGCATATTTTGAGGGTCAATTTTTGTTCCTAAGCTTGTGCTGAGTGCTGTGAGCCCTGGAAAAGACTAAAAGGCCTGCGATGTGTAGGCTATCTGACAACTTCACGTCCACACACTGGGAAAATGGATATGAGTTGACGTGTGGTTTTCCTGGGCGCTGTTGTAGAAGGTGGCCAGGGACTACCTCAGGTTGTTTCCTCTAGCAACAGATTCTTCCTATGTTGAAATCCTGGGCATGTTCCCATTATCCACCGGTAATGCTTTCTTTCCTGTTAATTACCCCCACCCCCCATGGAAATTTCCGAATGTACTGTTCTTTTTGGTGTCATATGCACTATGTAGTGAAAGAGGAGCAAGCACCTGTTGTTTGGATCTCCTTAAATACCTTTGCCAGCAGGTAGAATCATCAGATCTCAGCTGTCAGACTGCCTCAGTGTAACGAGTCCTGTGCTCCCCTCAGCCTGAAATGCCTGCCCTTTTGCTTTGGGGGTTCACTTCCTCTAGGCTCCTCTCAGAGGAGGAACGTCCTCTTGTCTGTGCCTGTGGCATCTCCAGCGAAGCATTCTTCTTATTCTGTGTATGTCATATTAACCTTCCAGTTCCTCTCGGGTGCCCACTATAAGCAGGACCCTAAACTGGTGGCTACTGCTGTCACTAGAGCTGAGAGTAGATTGAGGTCCAGACAGCCTGGGTGTGAATGCCACCTCTCCTTCCTGCTGTTTCACCTTAGGGAAGTTATGTGACATCTCTGAGCTTCAGTTTTCTCACCTTTAAAATAAGCTGAAGAACAACACAGGGAGATAGGAGCACTGCTTTGAGGATGAAGAAATTAATATCTGTAAAGCAGTGCCTGACAGGACGTGCTCAAGCTGGAGAGTGTAGAGGTGCAAACTGCAAGTTCAGGGACGCTTTCCCCCAAGGCCCAGAGTAAGGTGGGGCTGGGTGGGAAAGGCTGAGAGTAGGCCCCTAAGGAATCAGAGTTCTTCATCCTTTTCTCAGAGTTGCATTTTACACCATTCCTGAACACTTTCATCCTGAAACTGCTTGGACCTAAGAAGAGCAAGTCCCTTGGGCAACGGGAAGGACTCCCGTGTCAGTAGGGAAAGACACAAAGTTGGATTTGGTCTGGGGCTTCTGGCTTTTTTAGTGATGGCGCTATAGGACTTTGACGTGGCAGGACCTTCAGGGCAAACTGCTGAAAGAGAAAGGTTTCTCTTCTTTATTTTTTTAATTCAAAACAATTTTATTGGGGAACAACCATGGTCACTGCTTGCACATTGCTTTCATGCTACAATAGCATAGCTGACTCTTTTAAGGAGGGCGCAGCTCTCGGTGGCCCATACGGGGATCAAACCAGCGACCTTGGTGTTATGAGCACCACGCTCTAACCAACTGAGCTAACAGGTCATCCCCGAAAGGTTTCTCTTCTGATGTCCTGACCCTGGTGTCACAACTGGTTAAAGTCTGTCATTTCTGTTTTTAACCCTTCCTCTCCAAGATTAAAGGATGTTTTCCTCTCCATCCAGATGCCCTGTCTTCTGCAGTGGTTTGTTTTTTAAGAGAACACCTGGTCATCAGTAGTAATTATACTGACTGACTTATAAAACAGGATTTGCAGGGTTGATTTGGGCGGGCGAAAGATGGGGATTTGGGGGGCGGGGTGCTAGTAAATAGCCTGGTGGGCCTTGTTGGGAGGACTTAACAAGTTATGACTTGTAATGTGCTCAGCATAGTAAATGCTCATGGGACAGGTGGTATGATGCTGACGATACTGCTTGGTTTTGGGGGGCTGTCCGCGTGCTGAGTTGGCTCTGGCAGCAGTTCAAGGATTTGAAAACTTCCCATGGCCCTACCCTCTGTCCTCTTTCGAATGAATTACACCAGAGGAAGGAAGAGGTGATGGGTGAGGGTGGCAGCCCTTGGGGTGCCATGGCACAGAAGGGCTTACTCACTGTCCACCTCACATCTG